CAAACTATTTAAATGATTCTTTCTGGAGTACTCTACAGCTGTACTTATATATGTTTTATTATTTCTTGCTTACGGTTTGTACAAGCCACTCCTGCTACGTTCCTGCTTTTACATTTTTGTGCTGAGCTATGTGGACAACTTCGGATGTTCAACTCCGAGCCATCACAAGAAACATTGCCCATTACAATAGGTTTCACACCACGTCGATATACAACCGGAGTACTGAAAAAAAATAATAAGAATAGTTTAGTCATTTTCTTTTATATCTCTTTTGTTGTGTATTTATGAAAGAGGATGTGTTAGATTGAGAAAAAAAAATATGTAGAGGGGATGAGAGAGAGATTGGATATTGAGAGAGAGAGAAGCGTCACCCATAAGAGAATCCTATTGTTTTACAAACAACACTAGCGTCTCTGGTGTCCCAGTTTTCATCACATATCGTGCCCCAGTCTCCATCCTCATAGATTTCAACACGGCCCTCCATCCAAGATTCTCCGTTAACCAATCGAACACCATCTGTAAGTTAGTGATGCTTATAAGTGACCTTATAATGTGATATAATACAATAATGGACTCTTTCGATGATAAATACGGTTTGTTTATCATTCACAAGAAAAATATCAACAATGACCAAGGCGTTTGTACAGATTATAAAGGTGCTATTCTACGCGCGTCTCCAATTAAACCACGTGCAGGTGATGAAGGTATATTGGTACATGTATATATGTAAGGAAACACACGTACGTATTAATCAATTCATGCACAGAAAACTGATTTAACCACAGAAAAATGGATTAAAACAGAAACATTAAATGACAAAACATTATAGTTATATACTCCATATCAACTGAAAGGATACTTAACCTTTAATGGCGCTGACATCCCGTATGTTGCCCGTTTCCTTGAGAGATTCAAGACTGGGATCACCTTTACCTATATTAGTTCCATTTTGATCCAAAAAATTACTTTTTACTTTATATCCGTCACGATTCTTCAGTTGTCTTAGAACTATTGATAGGTCAGAGTGGATAGCATCAAGTTCGGAACGCTGCTCTAAAATATTTTTGCTGTTCGTCGCCACTGAAATAAAAACAACCATATTCCATTTCCCAACCGCAAACTCATAAAAACTGGAAGTAGTATTTATGAAAGCCTACCTTTTTCGTGAATGGATCCGTTTATGTCTCTCACAAAGCCCTGTATTGTTGAGTTTGCTGTCAGGGACAAATTTTTGAGTTCTCCTTCCATCATCTTCAACGCTGCTCTTTGTTGATCCACCTCTTGCTTTTCGGCCATATTTTCTCTGACATCTGTAACGTTTTTATGCTGGTTCTCACATATTCGACGTAGTTCATTTATTTCTTTCCCGTAAGTCCCACAAATAATACTCACTTTCTCTAAGGTAACGTTCATGATATTCACATCATTCTGTAGGGTTCTTATCTGATATTTCATATTTTCATTTTCTTTTCTTAATTTAGACATTTTCTCCTTTGAGGTAATTTGTTCCTCTGTCAAAACTTCAAGTTTCCTCATCAAAACATCGTTATTTTTCTTCATTTCTATGACGTCCATTGTGAACTCTTGCATTTTCTGGACCATGGAGAATCTCACCACACTCTCCTGATTTAATATGTCTCGCAGAATTCCGGACTCCTTCCTCGGGGTGGAATTTAAAGAGGAAACATCAGTTACTGTATTATTAACAACCCAAACAGAGAGACCACAAAGTACATTTTGTAGAATGAGGAACACAAGGCATTGTATAGAACAAACTTTCTGCATTGTACTCGTGCGTGTACAAATTCAGCATTCCCTCGTGCGTGCAAAAGGATATTTTATGAAATGAAGCTTGTTTCAGTTATATGTACTCGGTATTTTTTAACTTGATATCATAATGAATGGTATAATAGATTGCTTTCTTAATGTGACAATTGACAGTGTCGTTAAAACATTCTGTTTGTTAATTACATAATATAAGTACATAATTTTAGTGTGGTTATGTGTAATAAAGAACATGATGTATACTTTATATAAGTAAATATAAAATTGAGTTTATAAACATTTCCCGGACAATAGTCTTACACAGAGATTAAATCAGTTTTGCAAGACTATTTGAAAAAGGGTGAAGATAATCCAATGATTGTCTTTTTAAACAATTTGTTAACAATTAAAGCATTTATCTTAACATCAGTGATAAATCTTCAGGAACATTTAACATACAACAGACAAAGTTTAAAATCATATTTTTAGTAGAAATCATAATAAAAATTGCAAAATTTGGGAAAATCTTCCCATTTCCAAACCTTTGCTTATCTCGATCGCGAACACAATTCTAACATTTACAAAGAAGGATATGGAGATAACGAACGGTGTTCAATATCAAAGTCCATAAAACAGTACAAAATAGGAGCAGAGCAAACATGGGCCTCCGAAAGATCAGAGGTAGGATCAGGTACCATGGAGGAGTGAGCATCCCCTGCCGATCGATCTCACCCGCCGTGGTCTCCTAGTCATGATCGGGAAATGACGGAAAACCCCCTCGTCAATTCAGTGTACAAATATTGGACTAATAATTAAAATGAAAAACATCAGTCAGCATTTGACTAAATGATAAATTGTATTTGCTGACAAGGTCATTGTATCGACTAATGTACACTCGAAATAATGACTTTAAACGAAGCTGCTGATATTCTTGTTTTATCAACTTGTTTTTCAATAATTTACCGTTTAAGAAATTGTTCATATGTAGAGCATGTTCTTGCGTATCGAAACAACTGAAAAATATAAAAGCCGCATGCAGGTGTTGAAGGTGCATTGCTGCATAAGTAAGGGTATTTAACGATAGAAAAGTTAAAATCATCACGTTTATCATAGAGCTTGGTTGTTAGATTACCATCAACGTCTTTTTCAAGTAAAATATCCAGCTATGAAATAGGTGTATCAGACTCTTCGTATTTTTTTATCTCAAGTCACCAAAATATATCGTGTCGACATAGATAAGACGTTAATGGTAATCTAACAACCAAGCTCTAATATAAAATCGATGACTTTAACTTTTTTGTCGTCAATTTATACACTGAATAGACGACGGATTTTCCCATTATTTTCCATTATTTCCCAATCATGATAAGAAGCACATAGTGGGTCGGCAGGGATGTTCCCTCCTCCATGGCACTTGATCCAACCTCTGATGTTTTGGAGGACCGTGTTTTCTACTTTGTATTGTTTAATGGACTTATGATCTTGAATACTGTTCTTTATCTCCATATGTTTCGTTACATTAATGTTCAAAGTTCTTTTCAGGAAGAGGGGAATTCTGAACATGAAGGTCAGATTATTTGAAAATGGGCTGCACTTTTAATGCGAGGGTGGGACAGTTGTCTGTTGTGTCTGGGGGTAATTAAAGCTAACTGAACAGAGTAGACAGTGAATCATTAAATAGAACCGCGGTCGTCTTTAGCGACAGGGTAAACAATAAACAAGATATGATCAATATTCATTGTTTTTTTTTTCATTTTAAAAGAGCTCTTAATCAATTCTGTGATTTTGAATAAACTCGATCCTCTGGAATTAGTAGAATGAGAATAAAGTGTCATTGAATAAGTTGACACAGTACTCTTTGTTTATCAGTATATTGAAGGTTACAACTACATGTGAAATAACTGTCTGTTGGAAGGATCGAGTTAAAAAGTAGAAATGGAGGGCGAGGAAATTGCTGCTAAAGATCTCTTTCCAGAGGAGCCTGGCATTACTGATATAACACTTGTAGTAGAGGATAAAGAAATCCACACTGCTAAAGCCATCCTAATGTGTGCTTCACCGGTATTTAAAACGATGTTTACCTCAGATTTTAAAGAGAAAACAGCACAGAAGATACATTTTCCAGAGAAAAAATACGATGATTTTGCATTGTTTCTACTCAAGATATTTCCCCAGGAATATATAGAACTGGACGGTAAGTTATTTATGAGTTTCTTTTTTATTTATGCCACACAAATATCATGGTTTTTTTTTTCAAAATTAGAAGTCTTCAGTTATTTTTTAAGCTTAATATTTTTAGTAAAAGAAGATTTACAAAAGAGATGACATTTTTGTCTATAACATTTTTTAAGCTATGGAATGATTTCCTTCGTTTTGAAAGTAATTTTTTGAAAGAGCAAAAGATATATAAATTCATGGCAGCTTTCCTATCAATTTGTTAAATACAAAAATGGTAACTCCGCTACATTTTTAGCTCACCTCAACGAGGTTGGGAAAACTTATGTGATCCCCTCGACGACATCGTCTCAGGTTAAGTTTTCATGTGCAGTTTTCCTTCTTTAGTGATCAGACATGCATATAGAATGCTTTTAGGTTTTTTTTTAATTGTACCAGATAAGTTTCAGATGCCGCAATTTCAGCAAAGGAATGTCCAGGATAATGGTTTGAGCAGGTTAACATTTTTGGTGCAGTTTTTGCACGGACGATACATCTAAGGAAGCATACTTTAAGGCATGTTTCAGATGCTGGATCTGACCTATTTTTTCAGAGAGTGAACAGAATAACGATTTTGAGGCAGGTCTCATTTCCAAGAAATTAAGAACCCTATTTGCCCAAATTTGCATGGATGATACATCTAAAAATGCATACTACCAGGCTTGCTTCAGTTGTTAAATCTGACCAACATTTCCGGATGTGTAAACAGGTTAATGTTTTGGATGCAGGTTTCATTTCCAAGTAATTATGAGCCCAATGAGGACTAAACACGCATGGACGATACATCTACGGTTGCACAATACAAGGCTTGCTTACAGTCGAGTGAACAAATTTTGGTACATTTCGGTCTCATTTCTATGTAACTGTGAGCCCGGACCTATGCTGACCAAACTTGCACGGATGATACATCTAAGGATGTACACTACCTGACTTGCTTCGGATGCTGAATCTGACCTACATTTTCTGGATAAAAGGTTAGTTTTTAATGTTGGTCTCATTTCCAAGTACTTGTGATCCCTTTGTTGAGCACACGTGCATGGATAAAACATCTAAGGATGCACACTAATATGGATCTACTTCGGATGCTGATCTGGCCTACATTTTCGGATAAGTGAACAGGTTAAAGTTTTTGGAACATGTTTATTCTAAAGCAGGTATATGGCCTTTGCTGAGCAAATTTGCATGGATGATACATCTAGGTAAGCACACTAATGGACGTGCTTCAGATGCTAGATTAAAACATACATGTTTCAGATAACCAGATAAAAGTCATTATCATATAGAAACAAGGCCTATATTAACCAGACTTGCATGGATGATGAAACAAGTGAAGAACACTCTCAAACTTGCTTCAGATGCTGGATGTGAATAACATTTTTTTGATGGGCGACTAGTTCTAATTTTTTTTGGATAGTCTATTCCGAAGTAATTGCAATGCTTTTCGTTAAGAAATTCGTTGAGGTGAGCTCAGTAATCTCTGATTATGACCTCTGATTTAATTATTCTTTAATATTGCATTTCACAGAAGACAAAGTGATTAGGATCCTTCCATTAGCAAGAGAGTATGAAACACAGCAGATAGTGAAAGACTGTGAAGCCTGGATGATATCAAGACTATCTTGGAAGAAGATTTCTTTCGCTGAATATTCAAGAGATCAAGATATTGTGTATCTACTTCAGTGGTTGAAAATTGCAGAGGATTATGAACAAGGCTATCCAAAGTAGAACGTTGTGTTCAAGCTACAATACCTTGTGAACATAAGTATCCAATGACATGTTCTCTAAGCACAGTAAAAAAAGAAATGTGGCTCTTACATTTTGAGCAGTAGCTGATCATCTTTTAGAAGATACATGTAAATGATGGTATCCTGCATTTGTACAGTTAAACATATAGAAATAACGAATAGTATTTAAGATCACAAGTCCATAAAACAAAACACGGACTTTCAAAACAATAGGTGGGATTCGGGTGCCATGGAAGAGTGAGCATCCCTTGCCAACCGGTCACACCCGCTGTGTACCTGTAATTATTAGGATATATAATGGGGAAATCCGTCGCCAATCCAATGTATACATTCTAGGCTTACAATTAGTATAAAAAACAACATTCAGCATTTGAGTCAATGAAAAATTTTATTGCTGACAAGGTCATTGTATCGACTAAAGAACTTACGAAATGAGGACTTTTGATATTCCTCTTTCAACAACTTGTTTATTAATAGTTTAGATGTACCTCGTTGTGAAATGTTCATATGTAGCTCTTGCGTATAGAATCAAGGCCAAAATGAAATTACAGTTTGATTGGAATTGCCTCCCGCCTCATTGAAATGCCCCCTCCTCAAAAAATTTTATTGACCAAAAGTAGGAAGATTTTTTTTTTAATTTAATCAATTTTTTTTTGCCTATTACATGTATCACATACAACATACAAAACACTGAAATATAGTGTCAGATCTATGTAAAATTAGTTTTTTTGTTGCTGATAGATACTTTTTTTAAAAGTCAGAAAATGTATTTACTGTTTACCGAGATTTTAATCAAAAATTTAAAATTTATCTTCAATCAAAAGAAAAAAATAAATTCTCTCCCTCCCTCCTGTGTCCTTCAGGCGGCAATTCCAAACAAACTATTTTTTAAGGATGGCCAACCTGAGATATATAACCTCTGTATGCAGGTGATGAAGGTACATTGCTGCATAAGTAAAGGAAGTTGACGATTGAAGGTCATCACGTTTATCATAAAGCTTGCTTGATAGATTACCATTAACGTCTTTTTCAAGTAAAATATCCAAATATGAAACAGATGTGTCAGACACCTTTGGTATCTTTTATTTCAAGCTCACCAGGATATATCGTGTCGACATAAGAATGGAAATTACCATTGTTAATTGGCAATAATACGTCGTCAATATATCCAAATTTTCCAAAAGTTCCTTAGAATTTTATCCACATCTGATTTACACCACTTCTTGAATATACCGGCATTGTTGTACAGTACTCTTGGGGTTTCTCCTTCACTGCACTTAATATTTTAGTGATTACTAAAGAAAGAGGTTTGGTTGAACATTTACTGTATGGATTTTTATGAAGTTCCGGAATTCAATGCAGATATGGAAGTTCAAATTCATTTTCTTTCTTTGGGATATAAAAAAAATTCAAAACTAACATATGAATTTGAAGAATTTCTTCCTTAGAAATGGAACTATGAATATAAGTTGTATTGCCACTTGTAGAATTAAATGCAAGTTCTTCTAAAATACATTTTATATAATGAACCTTACCAACGAAGACAATGTTCTTACCTGCTCTGTCAGCAGGGACAAGTAAGTACTGATCATGTAATCTATTTTTCCCAACTCTGGATTAATGAATACAGAAGGATATACGAGGGGCGTTCAATAAATAATGTCATCAGGGCTCGGAAAGTACCAAAAAAGCGTTTTTCCATGATTTTGTCATAATGGTTCAACTAAAATATTCTCTTTTATTTAAAACACATTTCCATAACATTTTTATTCAATTTCTGATTGTTTTTAGAACACAGTTTTGAGTATGACCCTTCGTATACTGGAAAATGGCAGATCCTATGATTTGCTGTACTTATTTTTTTCTTTCTGAAAGGTGTTTTCCTAAGTTTGGGAAATGAAACAAGTCAAAGATTGAAAGATCTGGCGAATATTGTTGATGTGACAAAACATTACCTTTCTGTTTACCCCAAAACTCGTTTACTCTTCACGGCCTGTGGGTTTGGACGCTGTCAGGAAGAAATTTAATGTAGTGAATTCCTCATTGTTTCCTTCCTCTCATAAACCTTTCAATGTTTTGGCAAATATTTTGCTTCCTAGACTCCTCCAGAAACTGAACTGCGTCCCTATATATGAAATTGAACAACAAGACCGCTTATATTTAAGAAAATAGCGTATAAAACTGTTTTTGTGTTCTTGAAAATTTTTGCTCTTCTTAGGCCTTTGCCGTTTTGTCAAGTACATATTATTCTAAATTTGTTTTGAGGGTTTAACTCAAAATGGATTCAAGTTTCATGATCTGTTTGAATTTCAGAAAAACGTGGATAAGAACAATTTTTTTTTTATTTTTTAAACATAATTGTTTAGATTTTCTACACGCTCTCGTTTTCACTCATTTTTGAAAATATAAGGTGACCTTTGAGTATTAAACTTTTTTACAATCAAATGTTTCTTTAAAACAGTGTGGACTACCCCCAAAATGATGTCTATCAAATTTGCTATGTAACTGAAAGTCAAAAAAACATAATCATTGATAATTTGTTTAATTATCGCTAATATACATTGGTTGTTGTATGTACTTGTTGCCAAGGAGGGTACCCAATTTTGATGCCCATTATATAATTTTTGTTAATTGAAATCCATCTGTTCATGCGTGTATGAAACAGACATAAGTTGCTGTAAATTTCACATATTTCAGTTAATAGATTTTGGGGAAATTAACAAGTTTTACACCAGCTTGAATGATACCTTTAATTTAACTCTAGTTTACTGATTCTTAACCATTCATTTTTAATGCAGTGTCTCGAGTAGCCCTTGTTTTCCAGCTTCTCACAATGAAATTATGCGATTAAAAGTGGTCAAATAAACTGTTATAAATTTATTAAAGATTCAATAATCAGAGAAAGTCAAGCTTAATGTCATAAGATTTCTATGTTGTGTGTCATCGAGCTGATGACATTATTTATTGAACGCCCCTCTTATGTGTTTCATACCATTTTTGTTTTGGCTTTTTAAAACTTATATTTTTCTACGGGATGTTATACCTACCTGAAGTTTTAGAGGTCCATGTATGTTCTCCTCCAAGTTTGTATTGTTCAAGCTTTTATTGTTGACTGTACCAACCTCTCTATAGTGGGTGCTTTCAGAGTACCGTTGACTGAAAAACTTACCACTGGTAGAAATCTTACCATTGGTATGCCAATAGTACCAAAGTTTGCCGACAAAATTTACCATGGGTAGACTTTTCTGCAGACTAGTGCTTTGTTAGCTATGGTAACCTTTTTAATGACGTAAGACAAAATGGCGGGTACTGACCGAGTCGGTCCTACTAAACAGAGAACACGAGAGAACTCTGGGTTTATTGGGTAAATTCAAATAAATTTTATTCATAATTGAATTCATATTTACTCTTTAAATCTTTTTCTGTTATAAAATAAATAACAAAAATATTCTATGAAAGTTTTCCCTGGGAAAAAGGTTGAAAAAGTTACAAATCTATAATATGTTTTTATCACACCTATATACATGAACTCTCTGTATATAGGTGTGGTACGTCTGATTTAAAGACAGATGATACAAACTTTTGTCAAAGAATTTGAAAATAACATCTTGGGTCATGTTTAAATGAATAAAATTAATAACTTTCACCGCATGAATTTTAATTTTTTATTCAAATTTGCTCAAAAATGGAATTTAAATTGAAAAATATTTGTATAGATTAATAAGGATGGTTTCAGAAGGGCAGACTTTTGAACATCACAGAAGGTTTACAATTCCTTTATATTCTAGAAATTTATAATTTGTATCATTTTTAATGAAATTAGGCCAAAAAAATATACCAATCCAGGCATCCATTTTTTTGTATCATCTGTCCTTTAATGTGATTTTTCATCACTCAAAGTTTCAGAATCTTTATTTTATAAAAACATGTAACTGTATTTTAAAAATGTAGAATCAAAATTTTATTAATTTGATTATTTTATATTTGACAATCCGGAAGACAAGTTGGAGAAAAATTCTGTTGGGAAGAAGTGCTTCACTGTACTTAAAAAAATATTTCTGAACACATTCTCTCAAGATACGAGTACATGTGCATGTATTATCGAAAGTTTGGGGTAATGCAACATTTTTGCGATCTCCATCCATATCGAGATTCCTTTGAGCTTTTTCAACGACAGTGTCTTCTTTAAATGTCGACCATTGATTCCCCTCTAGATCCGCGCATGCTTCTCGATCCAAAACGTCCAGATACAACCTGAATCCTGAGAAATTTTGAAATAGTTTTGTCATTGCTATTATGTGTCTTCGGTTGTGTATTTATCATCTTCGCTAGCCTAGGGTTTCCGATCCGATCCGAAATCTCTACAACGTTGTAGGGTAGATTTCGACAGGAAACCCTTGGCTAGCGAAGATGGTATTTATAAGAGAGAATGTGTTAGAGTTGGGAAAAAGATATATATGAAAAAAAAGAGCGAGAATGAAATAGAGAGAAAGAGACAACGCTAGCGTCTCTGGTGTTGATGTATTATGATCGGGCTCAAGATGCTTGTAATTTTGTTGTTATGTTCAGACGCCATATTTGAATAAACGTGTTCATTTAAGAAATCATGTTTCATCAATGATTAGCCCTGATAGGCATATCAACATGGTGGCAGCGGTGCAGACTTGTTGTTAGCGTTACCGGTCGTCCCTGAAAGCGATGCTCCGTGAACCATTGTAAGTTTATAGTGACAAACTTTGAATTTATTTTTCAACACGTGCTCTGTACACAACCGCCATATTGGATTCAGATTCGATTCTCAGTAGCCTGAAATTTTATTCGGAATGGGTGAACAAGAACAAGCTGCAGGACCTGTGCAGGTGTACAATTGTCCGTTCAGATTACCTCCTCAACTTGATTTATCCTCTGGAAATGTATCCGAGAACTACAAAAAGTGGAAAAGACAAGTTGAAGTTTACATGTCTGCGTCAGGAGGAATCGACAAAAGTAAAGAGGTACAGGTAGCAATTATTTTGAGTTGTGGTGGACCTCACGTAGTCGAGATATATGACCAGTTTCATAGGGAAGACGAATCTCATAAGAATGACCCTGCTAAGTTATATGAGAAGCTACAGGCCTATTGTAATCGAAGTGTTAGAGTCTCACAGATTCTGGAAGTTACCCTAACCCTATCAGGAACCCTTTTGTAGTGTATGATTGATTATACTGTACTCATATTTTATGTTCTAAGAAAGATAACTCTCATTTGTTTAATTGTGATTTGTCTCCCTTGTACTCAACCGGAAGTTGATATTATAAATAAAAGTAATGGCTGATTAGTTTGTGTTACATCAGTACATGTGGTTAAATCCGATATTAACTCTGTATGGGACACTACATCTGGCGAAGAGGATAAACCAGAGGATAAACCAGAGCCGAGCAATGGCAGATGCGAAACCTATTTTGACAAATGTGAGTAGGATTGATAAGTTTGACACATGGAGATGTGAATTCGGTAGGAATCCGTTAGACACGGTGGGCACGTGCATTTGAGGTCTTTTCAAGCGGAAAGGGAATAGAAGCCCCGGCGCAAAAGAAAGCTTTAATGTTACATGAGGCAGGGATGGACGTACAGGATATTTTCTACACGCTAGAAGTTCCCGAACCGGGTGATGGAGAAAACGTGTATGGTGTGGCGTTAGCGACATTGAATAAACATTTTACTCCTCAGGTAAATCACACGTTTGAAAGATCACAATTTCGTGCTATGGCGCAAACGGCAACAGAAACTGTTGAACAATTTATCACTAGACTGAGACAGAAAGCGGTTTATTGTAACTTTACCAATATTGATGAAAGTATACGTGATCAAGTGATTGAGAAGTGTTACTCTCAAAGACTGAGAAGGAAACTGTTAGAGAAAAATAATGTGACACTGAAACAACTGAGAGAAATAGCACAGAGTTTGGAAGCACCTGACAAAAGAGCAGTGACTATGGAACACAAACCAGAACAAGAAACAGTTAACAAAGTGAGTAGATACAAACATTAACATGACTTTAAACAGCAGGATAAACAAGACAAAAAGTGTTTCGCTTGTGGTAAATATGGTCACATTCGTACGGATCCGAAATGTCCACCACGAGGACAGAAGTGTCGGAAATGTCACATGTAAGGACATTATGAAGCATGCTGCAAGACCAAGTCAAAGACAAAGTGGGACAAAACCAGGAGGGCAGCAGTCCTTAATATTGAAACTTCAGAAATAGAACAAGGTGAGGAGTCTGAGAGAACTTATGTGTTTACTATTCGGAAAAGGATCGTTCAAAGAATGACTTAGTGTTAGTATTGGCGGTATTGATACAAAAGTGATCATCGACTCAGGACTTCAGTGAATGTTATTGACAGACACTTACGGGAACAACTCAAGGAACAAAAAGTGAAATGTCACAGACAGGCGAAAGCATCGACAAAGAAACTGTATCCCTATGGTAGTAACAAACCACTGACCGTCGCAGGAAGTTTCGTTGCTGATGTGTGTACGCGAGACCGGGGTGTGTCAACCGAGTGCTTTGTTGTAGAAGAAAGTGGACAAGCTCTCCTAGGCTATGATACTTCTACCCAGCTTGGAGTGCTACAGATTCAAGAGACAAGTTCTGTTGCACCAGTGCACACTGTGAATAGCACGGATATTAAAACAGAGATACTAGGGAAATTTCCAAAAGTGTTCACAGGACTTGGAAAACTGAGAGACTTCCAACTTAAAATTCAATTGATGAGTCCGTACATCCTGTAAGTCAGTCCGTTCGTAGAGTACCGTACCATTTACGCAGTAAGCTAGACCAGAAACTGGATGAACTTGAGAAGATGGATGTTATCGAGAGAGTCAAAGGGCCAAGTGAGTGGGTATCACCTATTGTGGTTGTTCCAAAGAAGAATTCAGATATTCGCATATGTGTCGACATGCATAGAGCTAACGAGGCAGTCGTTCGTGAGAGATACCAAATTCCTACAGTCGACGAAATCTTGCAGGACTTGAATCAGAGCAAAGTTTACAGTAAACTAGATATCAAGTGGGCCTATCATCAGTAAGAGCTTACCCCAGACTCTAGAGAAATAACTACCTTTATGACACCAAGAGGACTTTATCGATACAAACGTTTATTGTTTGGAGTGAGCTGTGCTCCTGAAATGTATAACGAAATCATTCAACAGACATTAGGAGACTTACCTGGTGTGAACGCAATATATGATGATGTTGTGGTCCATGGATCAACAGAACAAGAGCATAGACGTAACCTAGAGTCAGTGTTGAAACGTTTAGAAGACTCCGGAATGACTTTGAACATTGAGAAGTGTCAATTCAATATGGAGAAGATCGATTTCATGGGATACGTACTCTCTGAACATGGTATCGGAATTGCAGACAGCAAAGTTCAGGCTATTAGGAGTGCCAGGACACCACAGTCAGTATCTGAGGTGCGCAGCTTCTTGAGACTAGTCAATTTCGCAGGCAGATTCATACCAAACTTGTCCACTATAGCAGAACCCTTAAACAGACTTTTGCGTAAAGACCAGTCATTTGCATGGGAACGTGAGCGAAATGAAGCATTTGACAAACTTAGAGACTGTTTAGCTAATGTGTCAACTTTAGCCTACTTTGATGTGAAATCCAAAACACAAGTTATTACAGATGCAAGTCCAGTCGGCTTCGGCGCTGTTTTAGTCCAGGAACAACAAGGGAAACCTAAGATTATCTCCTACGCACAAACCGAGAAGGAAGCACTCAGCTTAGTGTGGGCGTGTGAGCGGTTTCACATGTACCTGATGGGGAAGACTTTTGAGCTGCTGACAGATGATAAGCCACTTGAATTTATTTTCTCGCCCAAATGGAAACCATGTGCACGAGTAGAAAGATGGTAGTTAAGGATGCAGAACTACAGTTACATAGTTCGTCATATTCCGGGTAAATCAAATATAGCTGATTCATTGTCAAGGATGTTGTCAACAGATACACCAAATCCGAAGACAAGTGATACTGAGGAATACTTACGCTTTGTGATTGAGGAAGCTGTTCCAATCGCAATGACCGTATCTGAGCTTGAGAGAGCATTATTGGAGGATGAGGATCTCAAGAAATTGAGAGAATGCTTGATAACAGGGAAATGGTACATGTATCAGTTACAAAACAAAGACTATTTGACAGTAAAATCAGAATTGTGTACTGTGGGACATCTGATACTACGAGGGACATGGATTGTCATACCTAAGTCATTACGCGACCAAGTACTGGCACTAGGTCATGAGGGACATCCTGGAATTGTTATCATGAAGCAGCGATTGCGATCCAAGGTTTGGTGGCCTAAAATGGACCAAGACATTGAACAGTGGAACAAAGCTTGTTATGGATGTCAGCTTGAATCACAACCTGAAAAAGTGGAACCTATGCACAGAACAGAACTACCATCACGACCATGGGAACATTTAGCAGCTGATTTCCTAGGATCGTTACCATCCGGAGACTACATTTTTACTATCGTTGATTATTATTCCCGATGGATTGATCTGGCTGTGATGAGATCTACAACAGCGGAGAAAATGGTCGAAGTGTTGACAAAGATTTTCAGTACACATGGATTACCTGTTTCTATTACAACAGACAACGGACCACAATTCGTCAGTGAATATTTCAAAACATACTGTGAAATAAATGGAATAGTCTCTAGGAAGACCACCCCATTGTGGCCACAGGCCACGGAGAAATTGAACGTCAGAACAGATCAATATTGAAGAGACTGAAGATTGCACAAGCAGAAAAGAAAGACTGGAAATCGGAACTTCAGACTTATTTGCTGATGTATCGCTCATCACCACATACCACAACAGGAGTGAGTCCGGCTGAGTTGTTGTTCTGTCGAGTTATTCGTACAAAACTACCAGATATCTACACATATCGTGAGACAAATTACAGAGTTAGAGATAGAAATGCAGAGAAGAAGGCAAAAGGGAAGATTTATTCTGATGCTAAGAGAGGAGCTACACTTAGCGACATAAAACCTGGTGATCTTGCTTTGATGAAGAAGAACAAGGAAAACAAGTTATCTACGACATTTCATAGTGATCCATTGAAAGTTGTCGAGAAAAATGGAAATAGTGTTGTGTTAGAATCCCAGGAAGGAGTTCATTACAAAAGAAATGTGTCTCATTTGAAAAAGTTTGTGAATTTCAAGGAATCTGTGAAAGTGTCAAGTGAAAATGTGAATGAAAATGTGTTAAGTGAAAATTCCAATGGAAATGAAGATTTGTGTTCAGGAAATTCAGTTTCTAATCAAATTGCGAGCGATAAAAGTGCGATTTCAGATGATGTCCAGGAAGCGTCATCAGGAAACTCATCAGCAGAGGAATCCGACAGCAATGTTCAAGATCCGACGACAAGTTCACTGCAATTAAGCCGACCAGTTCGTCAACGCTCTTTGCCGGTGAAATTCAAGGACTATGTAATGAAATAACATGTTCTGTGTAACCTTTGTTCAAATATAAATTTTCAATGATTTATAAAACGGTAATGATTCATAAACTGTGTTTAAGTTAAATGCTAATTAGATTTGTTCATTTACAATTTATTTGAAATAATTGCTATTTGTCTAATGAAAAAGGGGAGGATTGTAATGTATGATTGATTATACTATAATTATATTTTATGTTCTAAGAAAGATAACTCTCATTTATTTAATTGTGATTTGTCTCCCTTGTAATCAACCGGAAGTTGATGTTATAAATAAAAGAATGGCTGATTAGTTTGTGATACATCAGTACATGTGGTTAAATCCGATATTAACTCTGTATGGGACACTACACCTTTGACAAATTTCTTACAGAATTAAGAACGAGTGCAGCATCGTGTAATTTCCAGGAACAGGAGAGGATGATGCGTGACAAGATTGTATTTACAGCTACTGGTAAGCTACAAGAACTACTGTTACGAGAAGACAAATTGACTTTGAACAGAGCAATTCAGATATGTAGGGCTTTTAAACAGTCAAATATACATGTGAAAGAGCTGCGAGAAAACATCACTTCATCTAACAAAGTGAATAAACTATCCACAAACAAACGACAGAAAAACTTCACAAAGCAGAAAGTGACACACAAATAGAAAAGTGATTTACAGCCTTCGAGCAAGGAGAAGAAAAAGTGTGATTTCTGTGGTTATAAACATGATCACTGCAAATCAAATTGTTTAGCATGGGGCAAAAGATGTGACAAGTGCAACGGGAGAAATCATTTTAAGTCCAAATGTAAGAAAATACATGCCGTGGGTGAAGATAGTGAAGACAGTCCAGAGTTAGAAGACAGTTGGCTCCTCGCGTTGAAAATCAAAGACAAACAGAGCAAAGATATCACTGCGATAATGAACGTAAATGATTGTGACGTACGTTTTCAGTTGGACAGTGCAGCTGACGTAAATACCATTTGTCAG